ACTGAAAACTGAGCTTGCTGAAAAACCAGTGACACAAAGTATTTACTTTTAGCAAATAAATAATACTAATGATATCCAAGTATGTTCTTTGGGCTTCAGTCTTAGTGCACGAAGTCAATCTAGGTCTAAACTTAAGCCTTCTAACAGGACCAAAACTTCATATTTTAAAACTTCTCAGGGTCTTGGGTCAGCAATTTCCATAAGTCTTCAATAATTATATATTTTTCAGCTCACTTTCAATAAAGCTCACAAAATGTACTTTGACAGTAGCTGCTCTTAGTATGACAACTTTTTGATTGTAGTATTTAATCTGCCATTAAACTACTCTGATGGTCTGGAGGACTGTCAAAACCAGGGCTATTGCAACACTCGGCAGCATCTGTATTAAACTTCTGTGCCCTGGAGCATTCTGGTTTTACCAGTTTTAGCAGTTTTGCCAGCTCCTTGCTAACAGTTTAAGAACAGACGTGCAGCATATCATGTAAATGAATGAAGGTGAGATTTTTAGCCTAGTAGTTATTACAGCAAGTCCCCATCTTAGCTGTATGAACTTAAGTCAGATACCAGCTCTTCACTAAGCATTTCCACAGAATCTGCTTCACAGAATCCTACATATGTTACATGAGTAACTTTTCCCCTGGGATGTGTTCCTTTTCTATTCTCTGAAAACTCCCTTGGCTGATTTTGGGCAAGAGCAGTCTGCCTACATTTTCAAAATCCTCACCAAAATGAGAATTCAAGCTTTGATTTTACAGGGATGCACAAGCTTCGCTAACTGCAACAGCCAGCCAAGAGTAAAGGTGGGTGCTGGCTAGCAATAGAAACAGCACATTTCAAAAAAATGAAGCTGTAGAGAGGCTACTGGCTACGTGCATGAGTGTACTGAGTTGGAGGCTGTGGAAAAAACAAATTGATTGGAGAGTGCAGTTAAGGGCATTGGTAGAAACCTGGAATAGAGTTGGGAATATGGATTCAGCAGCAGAGCAATAGTGTGAGGGAGAGGAAGGCTGAGAGAAAGGCTTTCCTTCCTTGCCTCTTGGGTAGGCTGACAAAAAACACACTGAGGAACGATAAGGGTGAAACTGTGGGGTGGGAATTTGGGTTGGGAAAATCAGAGGCATTCAGTACCAGGCTAAGCTCGGATACCTCAGGTTTGAGTAACAGAGGTTAGAGAGACTGGCAGTACCCTGGGGGACCATCTCCCCAACAATCACTTTACTGGCACCCAAGAAATACCCACTCACCTGAGTCCTCTTCCCCACAAAGTGTAGCCAGACACCCCATACACAGCTGTAAGAATGTCATCCTTCCAGCAATGCCCTCTTTGTTGGTGCAAACAAGGTACCCCCTAACTATACAGGGATCAACTGTGCTAATGCCCAGCTCTCACCATTAGTTATGCCAATTTTCTCAACGTTAGGATTAATAGTTTTGGCAGGAAATCCTAAACAGGAGAGTATTTCACATGGCTTTAAGTCAGTAGTGTGTATTTTCACTGGCTTTCATTTACAACCTTCACACAAAAAGGCACCATGTTGTATTAAAAGTCTGCAAAACAATTGCAGAATAGAGCTGCTACAGCTGGATCAATTTTCTCAGTAAGAATGTGCCCACACAGTAGCTTGCCAATGAGATCTGGTCCATGGACCATCCCTTGCAGAATTCTTTACCAGAGATTCTTTACAAGATTGACCCGTGTAATTTATGAATTGTTCTGGCAGTCTGTATCCTGTTGCCCTTTTCTCAAAGTGCTGCTGCAGGGTCCTTTGTGGCCATGCAGCAGGAGGCAAATTGATCAGTATCTTCTTTATATTCAATCGTTTTAACAGAAAACACATCCTGCCAAGGAAACACTTTAGGAGGGTTAGGTGAAATAGACCACTACTGCCTGACTATTTATACATCCATGATATGCTCCAGAGAGATCGTCTATGTTGGTTCCATAATGGAAGAGATGTCCAGGTGCACAGGAACTTCCATAGAGGCCATGTTACTCGCTGTGGCCAAAGGCTGTTGGTCACTTGTTACAGAAAGATTATGCAGTTAACCAAGGTTCACTGAACAGCTACCTCACACACAATTCATATATATTATTGTAGACCATTACATGGCTACATTTTTCCTTACAGACAGAATAAAAGCACTGTAATGAATCAAATTTGGACTAAGTAGTTTGGGGTTACAGTTAGATCTCAGATGTTGACTAAACTATAATTAATCGCTTTGAAGTTTCTTCATAAAATCCAGATAGCACTTACATATCTCATTTGCTTCCTGTGAATGGTTAAGATTCACAAAGATACGACAAGTCATATTATACAATGGAAGGAAACAAATTTGAAATACAGTCTTGATAATCCACAATAAATGCATGCAAATGTTCTGTATTTATCAGTTTATGTAAATAATGAAGTTTTGGAGTAAACTGAAAATGACACACTTGACCAGAACTTGCCACTTTTATGTAAAACAACACTCCCCCTCAATTTTTTCTGCAATATTTATCACACAGAATATGAACAAATATCTAAGATTTTTTAAAAAATTATTCTGCTACTGTATTTTAAGTGGGAATTATATTGATATAATATAAATTAAAAAGCCTAACACTGGGCTTTAGAGTGTAAACCAAACTAAGCAGCTTCTACATTAGGGTTATGAAGATGCTACAAATAATTAAAATGGCAGAATTATTTTCTTTGCCTGTTAGGTCTAGAAATAATAATTTTCTTTTCAACAGGACAATGGCAATTCTTCTTTATGCAAATTAAAAATTATCATTAAGTGTCATTATTTATCTCAAAACAATTTTTCACTTGTTAAAAGTTTGAAAATAAAAAAATAACGTAGTTACCAATAAATTGGTGCTAGGGGTTTGGAAGACGCATGCTAGAAACATTCTTTGTTTTGGTATTGGCCATACCCAAAGAAAGATCTTTCACTGACCCCATACAGCGTGAGAGTATAACGATGAGTAGACCAGAATGTACTCCCCATTACTCATTCTCAACTTCTATCTTAAGAAGAGTAATCGGACTACAGAGAAGAATGAAAAGGACAGGAAACAAATTACAAATTCCATGAACCTCCTGTTCTCTCTACTCCTAGCAGTGTCTCACACAATTGTATTTCTTAGCTACTGCTTCTGGGGCATTTTACAAATAAAAACTTCAGCATAAAGTTTTAAGAACAAAGCTTAAATTTCAGGTGCAACCAAACTAGCTTGTTGGACGAATGAAGAGATACAAGTGATAGCACTACGTATCTGTCCCAACATAGTTCAGTAAAACAAACCTTTATCAGTACAAATGGATGACTCTTACCAGGTGTTACCTATCCTAATACTCTTTACTACTCTCTAACAGAAGCAACAGATTGTCTACATTTATTTCTGTAAAGGTAAAAATGAGAGGAACTCATTTCAGCCATAGTACACAAAAAGATGCTAGGATTTAATTAATTTGCTCTTCAAATAAAATTTGATCATGGACTAACTTGCAATGAAATGTCTCACCAGGAAGAAAAGCTGTACCAGGATGATCTCCTTTCCTTTAGTGTCCTCAGTCTTGCCCATCTCCCTAAGTAATGGTGAGGTAATTTCCTACCAAAAAAAGGTGTTGTCATGATGATGCCAACACAGCAGCTGATGAACTAATGGCAACCAGTCACAGCATGCATTTTTCTGTCCTTAAAACTAAATCGCAGCAATGCATTTTTTAATGTGCTTTTTCAGGCTGACCAACAATCTACTCTTTTTAGGTAGTACTGGGAATGGTAGACTAGAAATACCTAACAGGATCAAGATGGAAATCTTAGACTTCCATGCATGGTAGATGAAACACCTGAATCTTTATCAACAGTCACACAAGGAGTTCCCTTGCAGTCACCAGAATACTCACTTCCCAAAACATCTTACAGACAGGCAACATTAGTATCTGATGGATGCTTTCAAACTGGACGCACTCTTTGAAGACTTTTCATTACAAATGAACAAAAGAAGGATCAAATCTGCGTGCATAGAAAATGAATTATAAATGGCTTATTTTCAGAGGATTCTTCTAAATAGTAAGATAAACCATAACAGTCAGCCTCATCAGCAGTGGAGGCTACCTCCATCAAACTTTATACTTCAGACTTAATTGAAACCAGAGGGGAAAAATTTGAACTGTTGCAAATGTGATTTGTAAATCTGTAAATATGATTGAAAAAAGTTAACACAGCCTAAGTAGACTAACTGCCAAAGATCCTAATCAAAGCCACCAAGTAAGTATTTTGTTTTGCTTATTTCAGGGAGACCTGAGATACCTTTAATGAAAACGGATGCAGGCTAACCACATCACATTAGACATGCTCAGCCACAATGTCAAAATATAACTACACTGATAGTGAACCAGGCTTAGTGAGACTGCTCTATCTATGCCCTTATTGATGGATCTATGCACTACCCAAGCAGCAAAACTCAGCCAGTGGTTGCAGATGCTCCAAATTTTAGATTTTCACCATTGGAAGTGGAAGATGCACGGCACATATGCACAACCTTATCAGACACCACTCCACTGCCTAAACACTGCTTCAGCAATCAAGCTCAAAAGCAAAACAACTCAAAACCCTCCAAGATCCTGGGAAGATGAAGAGTTAAGAATTGAAGCAGCATTAATTGAGTCCCAGCCTACATTAAATAAGCTTAAAACTTAATGTGCAGCAACTGTGCCTACAGTGAGATCCTAACAGATACTCTGTGGACAGATTTTAGTTCTATATTAATGCTTTCATGTAAACCTGTTTAATTAGGAAAAATGCTAAACATTCCAAGAGCAGAGAAAAATTGGAGCAACAGATATAGCTTCAACTGCATGATGCCAGGCTAGATTTCTTCCCTAATAATCACATTGCATATTAAAATTTAGTACTTAAGAGTTTAATGTTTTCATGAATAAACCTGAGAAAAAGTAATGCTGTAGAGAAAAACACAGCAGAAAACTACGACAGGCCACATATCCTTTTAGTTTAAATTTAATTTTTCAGATAGAAGTTATCTATGTACAATCAGTGTGCATTGTAACAATTCTGTCAATAAAGTCATTCAAATTTTCTAAAATAATAACTGGCTGCATAGCAGATTTGACATTATTGCCCATGTTCAAGAGGGAACAGAAATGGATTTACAATAGGTTTTGGCTGATTTGGATTCTGCAGTGTTCAGATAGTTACCACTCCCTTCTTTAAAACCAATGTACCTGAAAATCTTTCCAGAGCACAGTTTAGCTGGATATTTCTTACCATTTCATTACAAACAATCACAACACTGACAATTTAAGAGGAGGGGGGGGGAGAACCCCACAACAAAAAACAAACAAAACCCAAAAAACCCAGAACATGTATCTAAAGTATCCAATAAAAAAAAAAGAACTAAATGGAATAAAATGTTCCCTTTCCCCATTTTACATTCTGAACAGTGATTCCATCAAGATGTTTTATTAAAACATGTAAGTACACTGATTTTGTTTCATACTTGTGACAAGAAGGCCTGAGTTGGTGGGGAAAGGAACAGTCAAAAAAAGCCTGAGAGGGAAAACAGTTCATTTAATTTACAATAATTTACAGCCTTTGTTTTTGTTTTGTTTTAGTTTTATTTTTTTGTTTGTTTTGTAAAAAGGCATTATAACTGATCACAAACAGGAGAAATCCTGACTATTTTACAGTTATAGGTACAGAATTTAAATATTCAAGCTTGTGATGAAAAGCGGCAAGGTGGTCGCAGTGTACAATGTAAACAAGTAGCTTTGGAAAGTGAACAAAGTCCTTGAGAGTTCTTTACTAAGAAACAAAAGAAAATAAACTCATCATTCCTTCCTGAAATACAAGCACAGGTCAGTGTTTAAAAGTTCATTTACAAACATAATTTAAAACGTGTTCAGCCTAAACCCACTTTGACACGAAGAGTTTTATAGTAAGATCCAGTCTGAAAGGGGCAGTGTTGAGGTCCCTGTAAAAGTAAACATCTTCCATTTCTTAAAAAAGAGTGCCACAGCATTTGCAGCACAGTGCAGCATAAACTTTAAATACAAAAATATTTTTCTTCTGTTGGGATAATAGACCTTGCAGCCTGGAAAGAAGCAACAATACTGCTACTGATAGAGTATCCAGTCCATATCTTTCAAGTCATGTAAGGCAATTACTGTGTTAGTTTACTGTATATGGCTAAAAGAAGGTCCAGAAAATGTCAGTCTTTGTTATGTTTTCCGGCTACTCCATGTATGTTCAGGTGTACTTTTGTGATCTGATGAGTGTTCAAATGGAGATCTGTGTCCTAGGGGAGATCTTGAACCATAAGGAGACCTTTGATCTAATGGTGACCTTGGGCCACTACCTGAAGCTCTGTGGTCCATTTGCCAGTCTGAGTGGTACCTGTAATCTCTAGAAGATTTATGATGGCTGTACTCTGAAGTGGAACGCTGATCTGAATGTATCCTATGGTCTGAATGGGAACGGTGATCTGAATAAGCCCGGCTGTCTTTTAAACTTCCTTCCAGGTTTGACCTGTGATCTCTGCTCCTGTAGTCATCTAACTTTCTATATTTACTATCACTGTAGTATCTAAAACATAGAAATTATTTGTATTAGTGTTACTGAAGATACCTTAAGAGCCACAATTATGTCAAATCAACACAACTGCATTAGATACTATAGTTGCAATTTTGCATTACTCAAAAAAGATGTTTTGGTGCTTGCAACAAGCATACTATAAAAACAGCATGGAATTCTGAACAGATTTTAGAATTGTTGAAGAAACTCACCTGCTATCTTGTTTGTAGTGATCCCAGTCTCTGTGATCTTTGCCATTGCTGAAGGCTGAATAGGGCCTTTTCCTACAGTCACTTTTCTTGTAAGCATCTCCCTGATGCCTGTCCTTATGATGATCATGGTATTGTGACAAATGTCTGTCAGAAGAATAACTGTCCCTGCTACTGTCATCATGGTTTGTATTCTCCTTCAGTCTTTCCAAATCTGTTTAATAAAGCGGAGGTTAAAAGGAAGTCGCAAAGTCTTTTCTTCACCTAATTCAAACAGCACTTCAGATGTAACGCAGTATGAAAGTAGCATTATAATTTGACAGAAACAAGATTAAATAGTTGAAAGACAAATGTACTAATGCGAGTTAACGGAAAGAAACCTCAGAAGAGGGAAGCAATCTAGAACTGTAGATGTGTAGGACTCAGAAATTGAACTTTTTAACCTCTCCATTCAGTCTATGAAGCTAAGTGTGGTCCAAATGAGCAGTGAGCAGAGGGCACCTTTAGCAGAGCAATTTTAGACAGAATGGTAGCAACTTCCACTCTAAGAAGGGATTGCCTTAGCATGAATATGAGTTTTCAAGGTACACCTTGTTAATGAAAGACTTTCAGTGGTGTTCCTAAAATACATTATGTTGATTTTAAGTCCATGAAAATATATTCAAAGTGCTGCATAACACAAGATAAAAGCGAGTATTACAAGGAGGCAGGTGTGGGAGCACAGAAAAATCAGTGTTATTGTCAACAGTAAAAGACAGCCTGTGTAACTAATCATAAACTATGACTTCAAAAGCTCAACATGATGCAGCAATGTGCATATTCAACCCAGAAAGCCATTTGTATCCTGGACTGCATCAAAAAAAGGCGTGGCCAGCAGGTCGAAGGAGATGATTCTCCCCCTCTACTCCCCTCTCACAAGACCCTACCTGCAGTACTGCATCCAGCTTTGAGGCCCCCAACAAAAGAAGGACATGGACCTGTTGGAGCGAATCCAGAGGGCCACAAAGATGATCAGAGGGCTGGAGCACCTCTCCTATAAAGACAGGCTGAGAGAGTTGGGGTTGTTCAGCCTGGAGAAGAGAAGGCTCTGAGGAGACCTTATAGCAGCCTTCCAGTACCTCAATGGGGCCTACGAGAAAGCTGGGGAGGGACTTTTTATGAGGGCATGGAGTGATAGGACAAGGGGCAATGGGTTTAAACTGGAAGAGGGAAGATTTAGATTAGACATTAGGAAGAAATTCTTCACTGTGAGGGTGGTGAGGCACTGGGACAGGTTGTCCAGAGAAGTTGTGGATGTCCCCTCCCTGGAACTGTTCAAGGCCAGGTTGGATGGGGCTTTGAGCAACCCGGTCTGGTGGAAGGTGTCCCTGCCCATGGCAGGGGGGTTGGAACTAGATGATCTTCAAGGTGCCTTCCAACCAAACCATTTTACGATCCTATGACTTCAAGAAATAGCTTGCTTTCTTACATGGTAGTGACATTACAACAGCAACAAATTGGCACAGAATTCCCACAAAATTTATGGTGTTTGAGTAGATTTCTCCCCTTCCCCAAAATTAAATACAAAAAATGTTTCCAAAGATTTTTTTAAAGGATGGTCAAATAACTTGCTACTAGAACCAGTAAGTACCAGCTTCAGTCTACACTGAGCTGAATTTCATCAGCAAAATAGTGAAGTTTTGCTAATCAGCCAATCTCTATGATACTTAGCAGCGTGGGAGACCCATCTAGGAGACACGTGAAGTAAAATAAACATGAAAACTACGATATCTAACTCAAGAATATATTTAAGGTTTCTTACCTGGATTTCTAATTACATGTGTATTCACATTGCTGCTAATATTCTGGTCATTGTGTTGCTAAAAGAGACAAGCACAAAAAATCTCATTGCTAAATCCCGAAGTTCATCTGAATTCATCAGAAAAATTTTCTAACAAAATAGACTACTTTACTACAGACACAAATGCTACGTGAAGTGTATGTCAGTGTTCCTTGAAATCCTTTAGAATTAATAGAAGAGTTATAATAGTGAAAATATATATTTGTGTATTTAGAAAGAGTCTGAAAATACTACCTGAGATTCTTGGCGTTTTTTGATTGCATGTTTATACAGTTTGTGCAGCTTTCTGGCATCAAATTCTGTAAACTTAGAGACAAAAATCCACAAATTTCTGAGGAAGAAGAAAAGAGAAGTTATTGTTATTTTTAATTTTTTTTAATATTATGCAACAGAACGTGGATTTAACTGAAATTACTTGAACAGTACTTCAGTAAACCAGAAACACTATAACATTTACACATTATTGCCTACCTACACAGCAAACATTACCTAGTTATATTTCAAACATTTGAAAGATTTAATTCCTTTAACAATTTATCACTTTGTAATATTTATCATAACTCCCATGTGCTTTGCACTCTGAAGTAAACTAGTACTAATAACAATTGTGTTAAAATGACTTGTGAAACTGCTTAAAAATGTAGCTATCAGTTTATGTATGTATTCTGAAAGTTTGTTTGAATTTTGATAATTTTCCACTCAGAAAATAAAAATTTAAGTAAAGTAAATAAAAATTCTTCCAAACTTGAAATCTTTTACAGCCTATGACATTGGACCTACAAGCCTTATTTCATGAAAATATCAGTGAGAGAATTTTTCCACAGAATTCCAAAGCCTCATCAAAGCTTTTGAAACCAAGTAAGAACTGTGAAAGAGGATGGAAGTTGCATGGCAATAAATTTGTGCCTAATCGGTGTTCGAAGGAACGAACAAAGAACAAGACTTGTGCTGTCAAGATGCCAAAACCCTGAAGAAAACATTTGCTTCTATGATCACAGGTAACAGATCCACACAGGTAAACAGATCTGAAGTCTAAAATTCTCTTAGTCAAATTTATAGGTGGAATGCTTCAAAGAGACTACAGGATACTAGGGTCCAGAAGTATCTGAAGTGTGCAGGCTCAGGAAACAACAGTCTGCTCCTTCGCTGTGATTATTTAAACATTATAATTTTGGTCTAGAGGCTGGCAGAAGTAGACAACCAGCCAATGGTGTGCCTGATGACATCTGTATAACTTTATATGAGGTAAGCAGCTTAACTACACCACTTCTTATCAAAGATAGCTGAAATACATATTTTATTAATTTACATATAATATCATATTATTATGAATAATAGCTCTATTACAAGTTTCCACTTAAAGAAATATAATATTTACCAAAATATAAGACTTGGATCTTGGTTTTGTATCTCAGATGTCCTTAATACTTTGAAGTAAAGTAAGTAAAAACAGCATACACATTCTATGTTAACAGAACTCTTCAAGAAAATAGAACACTTAACAGACTTTTGTATATGGAAGAGCAGGATGTATTTTCAACCATAAAAGATTAAAGTGTACATTCCGTTAACTGTAACTCAAATTGCATTAAGAACTTAACGATGACATATAAGAAGTTTACAAACCAACATTTTTTCTTCATTTTTTGAAACTGTCATCTCAAAAGATGCAAACTTTTCTTTAATTTTTGAAACACATCGGAGTATGTTATGATAATACGTTTATCCAGTCATAGTTAATAAGTAATCCATAATTTAAAGTCTATTTTAAAAAGAAGAATTCTGCAACTCAAAATCATACAAAGTTCAACGAAAATTTAGAATTGCCTGTTTTTAGCAGGAAATAAAAAAAAAAACACAACAAAACAACACTCAAAGTTGAAAAAACCAGAACCTTAAAGGTAAGAATGCTTTTCCACTAAACACAGTTTAAGTAGGAAGTTATCTAGTGTTTGCTTTTGGTTTTAAGAAGCGACATGACTCCACCTACTGGACAAAATGCATTGCTAGGCAGTATGAAAAAGTCCATCCATTAAAAGTCAGAAACATCTATAACCATCTTTTTATAGAATCCTATTTAAAACAGCAGAAAGATACAAGAAAGGAAGAAGAAGAAATGAGAGAAATAACTATTCTGCTCAACAGAAGCAATTACAGATTTTCCTTTTTCAAGAAAAAACATGAAGAATAACTTACTTTCTCCACTGTTTAATTTGTTCAGGATTTGTGTACTCCTTTAGACATTCAGTAATGTGATCCCCAATTTTGATTAGACACTGTCTAGTATGTTCCAGCTGCTCTCTTTCAGAAAGGCCCTTCTCTGGTCGATCCAGCTGTTTCAATGCTGCTTTGACAGGCCTCATTCTTTCTTTGCACTGCAAAATGGAAAAAAGGAATGTATTAATTCAAAGGAAAAAAAAAAAATTCTAAAACATGACCCACCCTTTACTGTGACATATATATATACACACACAGGCAAAGACAGTATTGTTACAAGCCAAATGAAATACATGACTTGCTCACAGCTTTTAAAAACATTTTACAGGTTTCCTTTGGAGAAAGTTGTATTTTAAACCCAGCTGGAAATTTACTCCTCTATGAAAGCATTAGATTGTATAAAATATAGATATCAAGGATTTAAGAAAACACTAATTTAATAAGGGATTTTCTGAGGAAAAGGACTCATCACAACTGGGTTTTACAATCATAGCTATAACTTTCAGCACAAGCATATAGGACAAGACTTATACTTTTTAGCACCTTGAAAGCTATACAAACTCAGTCTCAAAACCAAATATGAGAGTGTTCAGTACATTTCAAACAGATACTTTCTGCATCAATTACACCTCGCATTCAGCAGATGATCAACACTGCTTCTCTGAGCAGTTTTTAAACCTCAGACTTATGTGGATACTAGCAGAACTTGTACTATCTACAGTAAAGTTAGTTTGGGTATGCCTAGGTTAGTAATAGTGACGGCAACACAGATATACGTCACATGTGAGTTCTTGAATTTTCACACTTTGAATCAAATGTTTTAATAATAAATCCAGATAAAACCAGTTAGCATGATTTAAATTACAGCCACTTGCTTAGGAATACCATCCAACTACAACGGCATGGTTAAACAGACGAAATGCATATGCTCCTTATCACAAAGAGCCAAATTAGTACTAATTTCCATTTGAAAGTGTAGTTGAATATGCTAATTAGACTGCATCTGACCATGGCATAATGATAAACATGCATTCCAGAATAAAAAAAAATGTTTTTCTATACACAGACCCAACCTAGAATTACTCCCAGTAAGAACAAAAGGAATTCTGTAGATTTAAAAAAAGATAGTTTTGAAAAAACAAACAAATGTTCAGAATGGAATGAAATGGAATATCACCATTACCATGTAAGCATTGAGGGACAACTCGGAAAAATCAGGGAAGCTGTTCCATTGCCAGCTCATGCCACTTGGTAATTAAATTAAAACAGCTCCATTACATACTGAACTAGCCACAGCTCAAAGTAGCTTTTAAAAGACAGCTTACAGAGTGCACTGCTTAAATATAGAAGTAATCAGAAAAATATAACTGTACATGGAAACCAAGTGATTTTCTGTCACTTAGCCACACAAACATATCCACCTGAATCACTCTAGGCTCTTCTTGGAAATTACAGGTGAGTTACTTGGAACGTTTAGAATAAAACCATACATAGACCAGTCACTACCATACTCAAGAGACTCTTACTTGCATGTCACAGCCATCACAACAGCCCCAATAAGCCTGGCTGGCAGAAACAGCTGTTGAAATCTGAATGATAGAACACCCACAACAGAGTAGCTGCTCAAAGTAACTCACTGATACCTTTCCAAAAGCCCCAGCTGCCCTATAAAACCTTACATAAATTCTGTGTATGTACCTTTTTGGCTCTAATATTGATTCTGTTCTTAGTCAGAAGTAGTCATTAAACAAAATTCTTATGGTGTCAGAGACATTACTCCAGCAAGGTTATTTCTAAGGGCTTTAGCATTTGTTCCTTCCTGTGCCTGCTAATTTAATACTTCAGGAGGGAAGTGCTGAAACCTAAATTCCCTTGTTATCTTATAAAGAGGAAAGGTATATATGATAAGGTGAAGCCAGAGACTCCAGCAATTGCACTGAAGTTCGTTCATGTCTGCTATTTAAGAAGCAGGACACACAAGTTATTATTGAGGATACCTCTTTACAGTCTATATTCTAAATCTATTTGGCACACAGATCATTGGATAAGTTTTTGTACTATCCCGCATAAATACAGTAAATAACAAAACTGCTCGAATGAAGACAAAAATTACTTTAATACAGTGACAATAACAGTCACTGATCTGAGACCTTACTAGCAAAAGACCACCTGTGCTACTGTGCCCAATAACAGAATCAAGAAATCAGAAATTGTCCTCATTTAGACTCAAGTATAAACACTAACTTATCAAAAAGGGACTTACCACACTAAAAGTTTTCTGATCCAGTTCTTCAGATTCTTCTGATATAGGAACTGGTTCACTAGTTGCAGTAATATGAACTGGAGTATCCAACAATGGAATTTTTTTAGTTTTTTCTTTATTTTCAGATTTGATTTCATTTACCTAAGAACAAGATATAAAAATACTTAAGTAAACTTTATTTTGGCTCTGAAATTATCCTATAATATATGACAAACCCTGTAACCACTGCATTCTCTTCAATAATAAGAATAAAAACTATGCTGAAATTCAGTGACAGTACACTTTACTTCCTCTGTGCGATGGAAAAGGAGAATGGAAAAGGAATAAAAGAATTTCTTGAACACACTTGTACTCTCAGTCCAACTACGATACATATCATTGAAGATGTAATTTCCCATTTCAAACACCTGTCCTCATGGTTTAGGTAGTGAAAATAAGACTTCAAATGATGTAAAAGACTTCAATGAAATGACAACTGATAAGATCCAAAATTAATCTCAAAATCATTCACACAAACCTAGTGGGCTTTTCTAGTGCTATATAAGATAAATAAACCTAGTTACCTTCTCTTCCTTTACTTCTTTTTCTTTCTGTGTGGATTCTTTTACTTTGTTTTCTCTCTTTTCTTTAATATCTTTTAATTCTTTCTTATCATCTTTTTCTTTTTTCTCCCTTTTCAAATCCCTTTTATTTTCCTTTTCTTTTGTCTCTCTTTTTTCTTCAGCTTCCTTCTTTATACCAGTATCTGGCTCAGGCTTTTCTTCATTTTCTTTTTCTGTTTTAATTTTTTTATGTGGATGTTTCACTGAAACAATGTCATCCTGCAATATGCAAGCATATGTGTCACATCAAACCGATTTCCTATCTATACAAGTCTCCTAAGTATCAGATTAAAACATACTTTTTTTCTGTAAATTTTTTTCTTTTTGGACGTGGATTTAACACCTATCAAATAGAACTGAATGCATTGTAAAGAAAATGAGAACTACTCACTATTCCTTGATGTGACAAAGCAAGTACTGATTGGGCAGTGGTAGTGGTGTGAGAAATTATGTCCATTTAACTTAGAATTAACTTAGAATTCTGTCCCTCTAAAAGGTAGTTAGGCTCTGAAGAACTAAAAATTATAAGGAAGTTGGTCTCGCAAAACTGAGTTGATGGGTCAGGACACTCAAGCGGCGGGGATGTTATAAGACCTCTGTTCTAGTTAGTTTTGTCCCAGTAACTTTTTACCAATCCCATATTAGACATTCACAGGAGAAGTTAAGAGTCCCAACAACTTTCTCATTTCCAGAGGTGTTCTTTCTAGGCTTAAAAAAAAGTCTTAGTTACAGATTGTCTGATAGGGGTCTATTTAATTATTTGAAGGTGAACAAAATACCAATCCAGTGGTCTTTATAATACTCACTTATAAAGTCTGAGATGGAAACTTAAATCCTTTCAGACACAGAAAAATATCATACTATGTAACAAAATTATTATGTACAGGTGCAAGAATCATTATAATATTTAAATTTATTTGAAAACATCCTGGAAAGGCAAATCTAGAATCTATTGCAGAAAAACAGATGAAAGAATGCCTAATACATGAATCTGAACAAGTTACTTAAATGAGGTATGAAGTAATGAGCCCAATCAGGAGTTCAGTATTTAGGTATTATGGAAACTTCCCAGCAAAAATCCATTAGCTTCAAGAGTTCGATGAATTTTCTAACAGTTAAACAGGTAAGTTTTAAGTATTGCACACAGTATGGCAGCTAAGTAGCTAAAGCCAACTGTTTAGGTGGTTAAAGCCCATTCTTGTATAGTACAGTTTTCAGAAATGCAATTGTTAGTTTGTGTCCAAAAGCATTAAGGTAATGAATATCTGTTGTTAAATATACAAAAGGGGACAGCAGTCTAGGCATTTTTCCAAAACATAACAAGTCAATCAACTGACTAGCAGTGTCTTCTGTTTTGAGTTGAGATGAAGTCTAACGCTCATTTTTTAAGTAGTTCGAACATTTAATTTGCTTAGTTTAAGGATTCAGTTGCCCATGTTAATTTACTGAGAACTGTGATAACACTACAGTTGCAGTCTTAGATTCCAGATAAAATATTGTATCTATAAACATAAGCCAGTCTACATTCAAATTTTTTTTACTTTTTTTTTCTGGCTTTACATTTCATTCTTCATAGTACAATTGAAATACATACAGGAATGCTTCAGTTAAAAATTACTATTTTACACAGATGTATCACGGATCTTCTGAGGCCGACTCAGTTTTAACTCTGTATCATACAAGTATTTTTTCCTCTAGACCCAGTTGACAATTGCAATAGTTTGTAACAGTTTAAAAAGGTCACTTAAGACACTTCAATTTAGTTTATTTTAAACCAAGTAGGAAATATTTTAGTGATACATATAGATTTGCACTGATTTCAACTACTTTCAAAGTTATAAAATTAGGTCTGACATGACCCTAATCTTTACCTAAATTTTTATCTCTAGTGTTTTCTGCTGAGTGGTAAACGTTAGAAATAAAAAGACCCAACAAAAGTAGAGCCTTAAAAGAACACATCAGAACTACCCGAACACAAGGTCAAATAGCTGGTTAAATAGTCTTTTTGGATAATGAAAGCCATGACACATACAGTAGATGTCACAGGTAAGTCTTGAATTACCATTTAATCATGCTGCTCATTTTAACTGAGCTTGATGGCTTTTTTTGCGAGCATGAATAAAAAACTTTACCTTAAGAATCACTATCAGCAGTTATAACACATTGGACAGAAACGTTAGTTTTATAATTGTGTGTTACATTAGGTTTGTATTTCTAGCAGATACAACGCTGAAGTCTTTAAAGAATGCTAAAACTGAGCAATGCCACTAGCAATTAGACCACGACATTTTTTTATAATGTAATTTGGAAAACTACTCATAATTCCCCAGTTACTTGCTTATTACTAAATTAAAATAGATACAGTCTTCCATGTGCTTGTACTGATGCAACACCAACTGTAGTGGCCACAGGAAAAGGATGATGTTCAGGTTCTTCAATTTTAGTAAGTCAAGCAGAAGACAGAATAGAAATCGATACTAATAAGAACTGAACAGCCATCTTTACTGTATCAAAGGTATTTACCTTGTTATCCTCATCATCATCTTCAGATTTCTCTGAGGGTTGTGGTGAGGAATCACTTTTTATTTCTTCTTTTATTTTTGCAGCCTTTATCACCTTATTCTTCTTAGTTCTTGTTTTCCTCCTCTTTGAATTGCCCTGAATGCAAATTGGTCTCTTTAATATGTCAACTGACAAGCATCTTTGCACCACAGTCGCAAAAAAAATAAAATAAATCTGTTTTTACATCAACTAGACGTTCATTTTATTTTATTTATTGCTACTAATGACCACCACTTTTCTCAGGACTGGAGATAGAGCATAGTGCAACAGTAGAGAATACATACAAATAAGACAATAATACAATATGAAACGCACAATTAATTTCTTGAGTTAGTCTCACGTAATATGATTAGCAATACAGAGTAATACTATACAAAGAGCAGAACTAAAAAAGAAAAAGGATCAGCTGACATGCCCATAGATGTATTGTTTTATCTCCCTAATGAATGCCAAATTTTACTTACTGCACCAGCAAGCCTTTGTGCTTCCTTCCTTGCAAGGTCTTTATTCAGTAATTTAATGAGGTAGTCTGCACGCGTCTGTAACTGCTTTGCCTGGGGTTTCTTATCTGGATCATCAGGCAAAATCTGAGGAGAACAATGGTAGTATCACAGCTATGAGTACATATTATCAAGTTTGGAAGATGCTAGCCTGGAGCACACAGAACAGAAAAAGCTGCATAAAAGATGGAAGACAATTCACTTCAACTATACCTAGCAAACATGCCAGTGTACTTGAAGCAATGGAGAATTTCTCAAATGTTTTCATTTCTCTCCAATCACACAGCTAATGCAGAGTCTTGGAAATTACCTCACAGTTTAAAAAAAACTCAAGAAATCAGCCTCAGATTTCTGTTACTACTCTGATAGTTCATCTAAGAAATTCTGAGCTACTGTACCAGTGATCCACAGAATTCCTGGCTCTGTCTCATTAATCTTCTAAATGCAGAACTCATTACAGGGTATTGCAGATGCCAAAAAAAAAAAAAAAAGGGTGGTTTCAAAAACCACACAAATTAATGGAAGGCAGGAGTACGAATCAATATTAAACCAATTTGAACACAACCCAAGTTCCTTACATCCCAAAACTATAGGCTGTTGGCACTGTCACAAAGTTTACTTCACCCCAGTCTTTCCCTCAATACCTGTTGCTCACTATTGCTAAGGAGCTACTGCACTAATTCTAGTACAGCTATTCTCATGTTGTGAGCGAAAGACAGCTTCAGGTGAAGAACCTGGGGATTAAGTGGGTGATGAGGAAACTAAACCAAATCTCTAGAAAAAAAAACTCCCTTCCAAAAGCTCAAGAACACAAAATGGACAAAACTAGAACATCTAAAATAGAAAAGGAAAAGAGTGGAAATTAAAATTCAAATGACAGAGGTCCAACTACATGGAAATATGGCAACATAATTGACTGCAAGAAGCCATACTTCAACCAGACACACAAGACCTTAAAATCTAGTAAGATACTACAAGAAGGATACTAAGATGTACAACTGACGTACAATATCTCTGCAGTTTCAGCTATCATAAAATAAGCTCTTTCAGTAACTGCTCTTAGTAGCATAATTATCTAAACAAAGAGCCCTTGATGAAATGTTGTAGACAACATACCTTCTGTGTCAAACTGAGATCAGGATCCATTTTTATCATTTCCCAGCTGCCATAACCATATTCATAGATGCCTATTAACAGATTGGAATCATCCTCCTTACCCCAATCTATATCAAAATGAGCAGCCTTGGTGTGGCATGGGATGACATATCTAGGAGAAATAAATTAGAAAGACAAATACGGGATTTTTACTTCTGAAGCTCAGCAAGGGGGAAGGAAACATACTAAAAGTAATGTAACTAGATTTATTTTCTCTTCTAAGATGCTGGTAAATTTAGGAAATCGATCCAAACATTTATCCTCACATTTCTTCAACATTTCTATAAAATATTTATTGAAATCAGGACTGAAATGTGTTTTAAAGATGATCAAGACTAAAATATGAAGAACAGACATCTGTCTGTGGCCATGAGCTGCATCACAGAGTTGGCTAACAAAGAATAAAAGTATAAACCATCATCCAAGTATAACTGTTAATCAAATGCACAATATTAAGGGATTGATACACAAGGTGGCAAGGCAAAAAGTTCAGAAACAGCTACTGCCGTGCTTTGACAGATACTGCTTTCCCTTCAAGCAGAGATGACACATACAGCAGCTACTCAGCAGGAGGAGCTGACTAATCTAGTCCTGATTATTATTAGTAACTGAACAGAGACCCCAGTGAATACAACTGAGAAGCCAAAGCTGTTACTGGCTTTTACGGCAAGGGAAGAAAGAACTAAGAACAGATGTGGAGCAGGTTACCGCTGCCAGTCCTTACAGGGAACAACGGGACAATGCACTCTTACAGTGTGTTTTGAGTCAAAGTTGTCTGAAAAAAATTAGTAAAACTTGAAAAAATTTGTACATTACTACTTCCTTTAAAAAAAAAAATCAATACCTTTTTCTTTCTTCTGGATCTGAAGGAATGGATTTGTGCAACGGTGCCAACTCTTCTTCATGAGAGATGACTAGCTTTGCATTCACCTGCACTCCTGAGATTCGGAATGTTGGGCCTTTAACTTTCCCAAGTCTACCTCCTTAAAATAAATGGCAAAGCTATTAAAATGTTTATCTTTATGAATATCATACAGAAAAATGTAAAGAAAACAAGACAGATGCTATAGCAGCAAATTTGCAATTATACCAATGACCTTTTCTTAACCAAACGCCTGAATTCAGCTCCAGAATCAAAAGGGCTACCAGATAGTAACAGATTACTTTAAAATTTCACAGCAAAGCAAAAACATACTGCATTCTCCAATCACAATCCACACACAGAAAGGAAAAAGAGGAAGTCATCTTACTATAACCCTTTTTTAAAATCACCCAGCATGCCAACATTTTTGTTTATATTTTCCCCTCAAAACTGTTTTGTTATGATCAGAGTACAAGAATAATTCAGACTTCTCAACATTTTTATTGTCCCCCAAGCCCCCTGAACACATTGTACCTGCTCTTTCTTGTCCAGATGAATTGTCCTTTAAAGCTTTAATGCATCCATTATGTACAAGTTCTCCCAAACGTCTAAGATCTGTCTCCGATTTATCAACTAGCTCAGCATCTCTAGCTACAGCATCTAACCTGTAATGAAACACACATTTTTATAGCCCTGAAACTTTCATAATTGTGAATGACTCCTTGAGACTTTGAAACTACAGAAATGATCATATAAGTTATCAGTCACTTGCACTTGCTATGCTGTGTACAATTTTGATCCAAGGAGAGAAAACGGAAGTGATTCAGGTATCAGAGGACAATAGAACAAGAACCGTAAGAGAACCTAACCCTACAGTGTGGAGTTAAATTACTGTACATGTCTTTTTTTAAAGAAAAGGAATCATTATATAGAATATGTTTATATGGGCTATAAATATTTTTAAGGAAAATAAGGATGGGAAGTTTTTCTTAAAACATGGAATAATAAAGAAAGCTTAAAAATAAGAACTGATAGTAAAGAAAATGCAAAACAAACTTTGACAGTCACAGTGGATAAATTGATAGGCTTTCAACAGGTTACCAAACAAGACAACTGAATGATTATCATCAGTGAAGATTAAACAAGACAGCAAGTAAGATGTAAAGAGAGTAAGTAGTCCTACAAATTAGAAGGTTTGTTGTGCGGAGTGGCTGTTTGCACACATACCACACATGAAGAAAGGGAAGCTATTAAGCTAAAGTCATGTTATATTCAAGGTAAAATACTACACATTATATTTTCTCTTCAGCCTCAAGCTTCTTGGTATATTGTTCTAATTTTTACGAAAACAAGGTTCGAAGTTGCTACATAAACAATAATCAAACAAGTTTACCTTTCAAGAGGGCCACCAAATTTCTTGTAACTCTTGATGAACCTAGTAACAGAAAAAATTTTTGTCATTTAAATGTATGCTTAACTAACTACATTGATTTTAAAATTGTATTAATACAACTATTAATCTTAGTATAACGCTCTATGAAGAAGGAGGGGGGGGAGGTGGAAAGTAGAGAGTAGGGTAGCTTAGAATATCCAGATAAACCAGTAAAACTCTGATTTTGGGTTAAGAACTGATGTAAATAAAACAATAGAAGGTACAATTTATTTCAGAAACTGTTTTATTAATTTCACAAGATAGAAGATTCAGCAGCTGGATGTGTCTAATCATAAAAATCTAATGTGGATTTACAGTCAATAAGAGTTTTCAGATATTATGTTATTCCTTATATAGTAAAAAGAGTAATCTGCAACAGGTAATTTGAAGATTTTGGAAAATACAACATGAAAGGTACTCTCTGTAGGAACGTGTAAATGATGGAAAGAAAGTTGAAATACCCAGAACAGAAAGGAAGTTAATTAAAAATAAAATAAATAAAAATAAATTAAAAAAGAAAGAAAGTTTCCTCAACAATCAAGGCCTCAAACTGCTAGAGCAAGAACAAGAATAGCCTTGAAAAAAGTACCAATTTGCTATGTTAGATAAAACGGAAAGGTAAAATGGATCTTTGTCCTGGTTTGGCTGAAACAGAAC